TTGGATCGTGCATCAGTTTCATCATATTACAGCCACATGGATTACCTTCATGTTTCCTTTTGTGATCATCTTTCAGACATGCGGATTACCTTCATCTTCCATTAGTGATAGTGTTCCAACATCAAGCGAGTGGATAATTTCTGTACATCAAGGTGATATTTTCTACCTTTTATTCCGCACATGGATTCGTATGTATTCGTCAAGCGGGTGAGTTTTTTCCTATATTCATTTGAACCCAGGTCCTAACATTAATTATTTTGTGTTTCTTCACGTGTACTGCAACAATATTCTTGAACTATATCGTTTTTTTTTTTTTTTTTTTTTTTTTTTTTTTTTTTTTTTTTTGTTATCTGTATTTATTCATATTTATTATGGCTACTAGCGATCCTCTAGCCACTGATGACAAACAAATGGCTCGCGTTGCTGTGAAACCTGCCCCATTTTGCCATAGTGACCCCAACCTTTGGTTTTTTTCAATTAGATGCACAATTCAAGCTCGGGGTATAACACGCGATGACACGAAATTTTATACTGCAATTTCCGCCCTCGACACTGAGGTTCTTCAGTCAGTACACGAGATTGTTCTGAAGCCCCCCTCGGATAATAAATATGAGGAATTGAAAAATAAATTAATTTATGTTTATGAGTTTTATTATTTAAGTTTATGAGGAGTCTGAAAACACCAAACTAAAGCAGTTATTACAAGATTTGCAACTTGGTGATATGCGCCTATCCCAGTTATTGTCAAAAATGCAGGAGCTCGCGGGTGACAATTTTAAGTCCAATGTTTTACAATCATTGTGGCTCAATCATCTCCCGAACAATATCCAAGCTATTCTTGCCTCCAGTAACGAGAACCTACCCCAACTGGCCAAATGGCAGACAAAATTCATGATGTTCTCCAACCACAAGCAATCAGTCAAGTTCAACATCCCAGTGTTGATATTTCATCTCTTCAACAACAAATCCAGGAATTATCATTGCAGGTCGCAGCCTTACAGACACAATCTCAGTATCATCCGCGCGGTAGATCAAAGTCCCGGAACCGAAATAATAGGGAATACCAACGCGCTCATTCTGGTACTCAATCAGACATTTGTTTCTATCACAGCCGATTCGGTGATAAAGCGCGCAAGTGTACACCTCCATGCAAATTTCAGAAGACCTCTTTAAACTGAAGGGGCCGTCACTCGAAGCCATGAGTGACAACGGCCCGTGCATTAGTCGATTGTTCGTAACAGATAAACCATCAGGCAGACGTTTTCTTGTTGATACAGGTGCTGACATTTCGGTTGTACCTCCCTCTTTTGCCGAATCCAAACGGCCGCCTGGAAAATTTAACTTATTTGCAGCTAACGGGTCAAAAATTGCAACATATGGAGAAATATTAATGTCTTTGGATCTAGGATTGCGTCGCAAATTTCAATGGCCATTTGTCATCGCTGCGGTTTCGCACCCAATAATTGGTGCAGACTTTCTGCAAAAATTTTCTCTGTTGGTCGACATTAAAAATCGACGCTTACTCGACTCCATCACACAATTGTCCGCGGTAGGTAGCATTGGAAATGCCACTAATTTTGGAATTAAATTAATTTCCGGTAATTCTCCTTTCCACAAACTACTTGAGCAATACCCTAACGTCATCCGCTCAGTAACTGGCAAACCGACTGCTGACCACGGTATTGTACACGTCATAGAGACTACTGGACCACCAATCTTTGCCAAAGCACGGCGGTTGCCTCCAGAGAAATTAAAGGCTGCAAAAGAAGAATTTAAATACATGCTTGAGCAAGGAATCTGTCGGCCATCTAAAAGTTCATGGGCCAGTCCACTCCACATGGTCCCTAAGAAAAACGGCGACTGGCGTCCTTGTGGGGATTATCGACGTCTTAATTCAGTTACTTTGCCTGATAGATATCCGGTTCCTCATATTCAGGACTGCATGCAAGTCTTGGAAGGCAAAAATATTTTTTCTACGTTAGATTTGACTCGTGCTTACCATCAGATCCCTGTCAATCCACCTGATATACCAAAAACTGCTGTAATAACACCTTTTGGATTATTCGAATTTCCTGTCATGACTTTCGGGTTATGTAACGCTGCGCAAACGTTTCAGCGCTTCATTAATGAAGTCCTTCGAGATTTAGATTTTTGTGTCCCATATTTCGATGACATTCTGGTAGCCTCGACAACTGAAAACCAGCACCTTGAACACCTTTGCATAGTCCTTGGCCGATTTCAGTCTTATGGTGTAGTCATTAATCCATCAAAATGTGTTTTCGGGAAATCTAAAGTGTCATTTCTTGGTCACGAAGTTTCTTCGGAGGGCGTTCGCCCACTTAGTGACAGAGTCACTGCAATTCAAAATTTCCCAGAGCCAAAAACTGTTCAGGAGCTGCGTCGTTTTCTGGCCATGTTAAATTTTTATCGTCGCTTTCTTCCTCATGCCGCTGAAAAGCAGGCACCTTTGCACACATATTTGGTTGGGAGTAAAAAGAAAGATACGCGGCCAATTATTTGGTCTGATGATGCCCGTACAGCCTTTGTACAATGTAAGAATGACTTAGCGTCGGCAACAGCTCTTAGCTATCCTTCTAAGCACCCTTTAGCATTAATGGTTGACGCGTCTAATACGGCCATGGGTGCGGTTTTGCAGCAACTGGTAGACGGAGCATGGAAGCCTCTGGCTTTCTTCTCGAAAAAATTTTCTGCAGCGCAATCAAAATACAGCACGTACGACCGCGAACTTCTTAGTGCGTATGAGGCTGTTAAACATTTTCGTCATATGGTAGAAGGTCGTGTGTTTTCTATCTATACCGACCACAAGCCGCTAATTTTCGCTTTTCGACAAAAGCCTGACAAGGCTTCTCCCAGGCAAATGCGTCATCTTGATTACATAGCGCAGTTTACAACCGATTTTAGGCATGTAGAAGGCCCTCAAAATACAGTTGCTGATGCTCTGTCCAGAATTGAAGAGGTTCAGTTGCCATCAACAACAGATTTCTCCCGCCATTGCTGAATGCCAGAAACAGGACCCAGAATTGCAACATCTTTTGTCTGACAAGTCTTCTCATGGACTTAATTTAGTACCTATGCAGTTAGAACCAGATCTTTCACTGTACTGCGATGTGCAAGGTAATGTGGTGCGGCCATACATTCCACTGAAATTCCGGCATGGTATTTTTAGCGGCCTCCATAATTTATCCCATCCTGGCATCCGTGCTTCTCGCACGTTAATTCAACAGCGTTTTGTATGGCCTGGTATGCAGAAGGACATCGCTGCATGGGCGAGGTCATGTACAGACTGTCAAAAATCAAAAATTCACAGGCACACTCGAACTCCATGTCAACGCTTTGAGTTACCATCTGCTCGCTTTAGCCACGTACATATCGATTTGGTTGGACCCTTACCCCCATCACTAGGTTATACATATCTTCTTACGTGTGTCGACAGATACACACGTTGGCCAGAGGCTATCCCTATTGTAGATATGTCAGCCGACACTGTGGCAAAAACCTTTTTTTCTGTATGGATTTCACGGTTTGGGGTACCCGAGTACGTTACCACGGACCAAGGACGGCAGTTCGAATCTCAATTATTTACTGCATTAACAAAATTCTTGGGAACTAAAAAGATCCGTACATCACCGTACCACCCGAATTCCAATGGACTTGTCGAGAGGTTCCATCGCTCTCTTAAACAGGCCATTAGATGCCATACTGCTATTCACTGGGTTGATGTCCTTCCTACTGTGTTGTTAGGACTCAGAACGGCTATCAAAGAGGACCTGGGTTCTTCAAGTGCTGAAATGGTTTATGGTACCAATTTACGTTTACCGGGAGATTTTATAAATCCCGCAAAAAAACTCACCCAATGTCCAGCCCCATGCATTCCTCAAACAATTGCGTGAAACCATGGCTGCATTATACCCTAAGCCCACAAGCATACATTCTTCAAGACCTGTGTTTGTGCCTAAAGAACTCGCTACATCCTCACATGTGTTCTTACGGTGTGATGCATCAAAAAAGTCCTTGGAGCCTACCTATACAGGCCCACACCTAGTTCTAAGTCGCACATCCAAGAACTATCGGATACTAATCGGCGACAAAGAGACAGTGGTGAGCCTTGATCGTCTCAAACCAGCCTTTATCTTAGCACCACAAACTGTCGAGACTGGTACATCAGTCCCACCTCCTTCGAAGGCACCTTCATCTATTGGGTCTACACCAACATCTGCTACTACGTCAGTTCCTGTGCCTGGATCCCAGAAAACAAGTGCTCCTCAGTATACACGTTCCGGACGTAGAGTCCGATTTAACCCTCGGTACCTTTAATTCGTTGCCACTGGAGGGGGAGTAGTGTGGTGGCGACTCTGTAAACATGTGTTGTACTCGCCAACCGCGCGCCGTTATCACTAACTGTAACCGAAGGTGATTTCGGCGACACACAGTCACGTCTCGCCGTCGGTGTGGTTGGTTGCTTGCTTTCCTCCAACGTGATTGTCTATCGACTGTAGTAATTAAGTTTTAATATTGTGATGTGATTAAATGTTTTTGTTATCAAAAATTGGCTCTTATGGCATGTTATGAATTCATCCTTAAAAGCACTCTAAATTCTTAGAGGTATCAAAAAAGAAAAGACTCAAATTATATTAAGTAAGGTTTTTCTCATTTAGGTATTAATGGTAATATTCAATCTTTTTGGGGGGAAAATAAAAAGCATTAACTTCAATTTAAAAAATGATTTGATTATTTTCTAGCAAAACTTAGCACTTCTTAATTTTAAATTATTGTTGCCATTTAATGAAATCAGTGCATTTTTGCAGAATAATATTTATAATTTTTGGTGAAGAGAAACCATGACTCCCTTGAAACACAATAAGCTTCTTTTTTTCACTAGAATCAGGTCAAATTTAGATTAGCAATCTTTAAATTTTAGCAATTTATTAAAATAAACTAAAAGTCAACAAAATATGCTTTGAAAGAAAAAAATTCCTTACCCATTATTAGCTTGAGGATTCAGAATGACAGTTACATGCTTTGGTTTTGTCATTTCAGGTAACGGTTTTTCACCATATGTCTGAAATTAATTTTTGAAATAATTTCCTAAATTATCAAAATATGCAAACAAAACATATATTAGATAATATCATTTAAGAAAAGTATCATTTTTGGTTGGTATTCTGTAGGTATTCATTTCTCAGGCTATTTTTCATTCCAAAGGCATACATAGTTGGATATGTCTGAAAGATGATCCAAAGTCAGTTTTGGAACAAGATGTTTTAACAAGGGATTTCATTTTAGACCTACATATAGCAGGTTGGGGTTAGAGTAGACTTTAAGGTACCTTTGTATTATGGCAAAGTTGCTGTTTCATTTATGGTAGCCTGAGTAGTTGAATGTTGTGGAAACCCTACTGTGATGTAATCGGGTGCATAAATCTGGGAAATTTTGAATCACGGGATC